GATATGCTATGTCCAAGCTAGTGCTAGTCCACTGTATATGTCCATATGTATGTCTGCATGTATGCGTGTAAATATGTCAACTCAAATTTGATTTTAACCCATTTTAGCGGACATAGTTTTTTTCATTCCAGCCGTTAATATAACATGAATTTTATAGTTAATTTTCATGAAAGTTACACGTATCGTCGAGAACATGTTTACATGTAGAATTTTAAACGAAACATTATTATTTTCCATATAAAATGTACGAGTATGGCTTTATTAAATCTTAACTTATGCGAAAACCTAAATACTTCGTCAACCTAGGGTTAATATTGATGGCGTCGTGGCAATTCGCAGAAATTTAATAATTTGTCTATTGTAGGTGGACGGCGAGGGGAAGACGAAAGCAGACCAATCGTACATATGTATGCACATATTTACATTTATTAATGCATACATATTTATGCGTTTGTCTTTTTGGATGAATGAAGAATATCATATACATATGTAGTGATTTAGAGATTGCAATTTGAATGATGTACTGTGGCGCGTATGCTAGAGGCGACGCAACTTTTTGGCGTCTCGCCGTTTGTCTTGGTTCAAATCCCGGACGGTCCATGTAATAATTTTTTTTTTGTTTTTTTTTTTAATTGTCATATCCATATTCCATTTTAAATTTTACTATTAGCTTTGTTTAAAATAATATATGTAAATGGATATGTAGGTACAAACGCATGCATAATTTCACATAATCGCTCAAATTTGCCAAAAGTTACTGAAAGCTTTATTGTAAATATTTTCACTAAAATATTAGTTATTGGAATTAAAATTTTATGCGAGTCCAATTTTCACACCCATTTTTAGAAAGCGCAAGTATGTATATGTTAGTGCCACAAAAATTATTTCATAAGTAGTTAATTTTAAACACAAATATGTATGTACACTGGCAAAGTGAGTGCATCCTGTTTTTTGTTTAATATTTGCAATGTATTTAAGTTAAACTTTTATGTTATTTTCGACGGGAATTGTGGTTTTATGCATATAGCAAGTGCAATTTGTAAAAAATAGCGCTAATTTTTTTTTTATTTGTTTGCAAACGGTCATGCGCGTTTTTTTCTACAAGAAATTCACTTTTATTTGGTAGAAAGTGCAAAAAGCCGTCAGCAATAAATAATCATTAAAAATCAACCGGATTTTTTAGCCGCTCAAAACTTGATCTTGTTCCACTAGAATTAAAAAACCGATCTATCTGCGTACTCAAAATTTTTCTAAAAACTCAGATTAAACAGGTCAAAATTTAGACGAGAATTCGTTGAATTTTTCTATGTTCTGTGTAAAGTTTGAAAGTTTGACTTGTATAGTTTTGATTAAAGCATGAACCACATTTTTATAAAAAGATAATAAAAAAAAATTAATTGAAAAACATTGCAAATATTAAGCAAAAACACCATGCACTCACTTTTGATTGCCAGTATATGTATGCATGTACATATGTGTGTAAACTTTATGCCAAACTATCATTATTTTAAATTGTATTTGCATCTTCATAAAAGGAGAACAAGATAAAAAATTTAACAAAAATTACAAATTAATGAAAATTATGTGAAGATTTACCATATTTTCGTTTATTTGCTCGCAAAGAACATCACATTTCATGTTGCTCAACATTGTATTATGTTATCAACATTAAATTAATTCAACAGAATTTCTACATTCCGACTTGAACTTTTCTAACGCTGTTAATTTTTCGTCCGCGAATAGTTTCCACTTTCAGTTTGCACCTTCTCTATCTATCTAAGTTCTCTGGCATTACTAGCGAAGCTGGTGAACGTCCGGTATTATGGCCAACTGTTGGTAGACTTCTTTGCGGCACTCACGAACGATGCTTTATTCCAGCAGCTGAGCTTAGAGGAACAACTGATTTGGGCACGTGAGCAAAGGCATTACGGTTGGATGGCACTATTGTACTTCGCCATGTCACTGACTGTAGTGAGTACAGCTTTTGTGGGAGTGCTGATCAGCGCCAACTATGAACTGCCATTTCCATATGCGCCGCCATTCGATTGGCGCACGGAGCGTGGTTATTGGTATGCTTACTGCCAGTGTTGCCACACAATTTTTTTATTTTTTACCAAAATCACCGAAAAAAGTTACCAAATTCAACAAAAAATTACCAAATTAATTTTATGTGCAGAACTAATGTGCAGAAACATACATAATTACGTTATTTTGACAGTTAGGGCTCGACATGTATATTTGTACAGTTCTGCACATAAAATAAGTTTGGTAATTTTTAATAATATGTTAAAACTTGTCAAAATATGGCGCGGCTATAATTTTTTCGACCACTGTATGTAAACAAGTGACAAGCAAATATATCAAAAATTCAACGCTTGAAGGAAAGCTTTCGACTCACACATAGACAGAGTGAAGTCCCCCGCTGAATGCCGTAGCTTTTTGAACGAGAACATACATATTTTCGTAGAATTCTACTCATATATATGGATACCGGGTACACCGGATAATTGATGGTAATTGCAACTGACAGGGAAAGGTAGATTCCCACTACAGTCGGGTCTACGTAACAGGAACAGCCCAGATTTATATCTGGCCAAGGACTGTCACTCCAGCAACACTCCCCAAAATCTCTTTGGGGAATATGTATGCTGTTACAACAACAACAACCACCCAAAACCTTCCAGGGAAGGGCACGGTGGATATACTTAGCAATAGCCGCTTTCAAGCAGTTTGTTAAAGATCACACCATTCTAGTAACCAAGGAACGCAGGAACAATTTTCACCTTGCGAAACTTTCAGGATTACCTGGTATTTCTATAAAAGGAAACGCTTACGGGCCACTTACTAATGTGGAATCAGAACCATGTAAAACCGAATCAAAAAAGTTACCAAATTGAAAAATAAATTACCAAATTACCAAACTTGATAAATAAAGAAAAAAATTACCAAATTTGGTTAAAAATTATCAAAGCGGCAACGCTGCTTACTGCTATGAATTGCTAGCAATGCCGATCACCTGTTTGTCGAATTGTGCTTTCGATATGAGACAGTGCTATATGTTGGTGCAATTATCGTTGTGTTTTAAATTGATTTTCGGACGCTTGGAACGAATGGGTGAAGTGCGCGTGGAAAGCAGCGCGTCAAATGGATTTAGTGAGGAGAAGTTTTATGCGGATTTTGTTGGAGCTGTGGCGTTGCATGTGCGTACCAGAGAGTAAGTAGGGGCGTGCATTAGCAGAAGCTTTGATAGGGAAAATATGAGAAGTGTTTTATCATTATTTTCTATTTGTAGACTTTCTCAGCAGTGTGAGAAGTACGTCTCATTTCCCTTTCTCATACAAATTTTTTGCTCATCCTTCGTACTGTGCTTCAGCGCCTATCGCTTACAAAAGGTAAGACTTTGAATTTTTATAATACTATTTTTTTAGTTTTTACTTTTCCCAGTTAACCCAGCAGAAAATTCTGGACTAGTTCAGGAGTTTTTCAAGACTATTTCGGCACTAGTTTAGGAACATTTTGAACGTAGTTTAGAGCAATTTCGGAACTAGTTCGGGATCATTTCGGGATATGTTCAGGACCATTTCGTGCCTGGTTCGGGACTAGTTCACGAGTATTTGAGGGTCATTTTGGTACTGGTTCCGAACCTTTTCGATACTAGTCCAGGACTATTTCGAAACATTTCGGGACTAGTTCAGGACTACTGTAGGTATCAATACGGTACCGTAACAAGACTTGTTCGAGATCAATTTCAGGACAAGTTTACGACTTTTTCGATCGTACATGACTACTTAAGACTCATTTCGGAACTAGCTCGGGATCATTTCGAGACCTGTTCACGACTATTCCAGGACCATTTCGTAGCAATTTCAGAAACATTTCGGGACGATTTCGGTATTACTTATTGACTACTTGAAACTATTTTAGGAACATTTCAGGACGAAGTAGTTCGGAATCATTTTTTGACTGGTAAGGGACCAATTCAGGACTGTTTGAAGTGTTGTTCGAAGTCATTTCGGGACAAGTTCATGACTTTTTCAGACCTACTTCAGCTCGATTTTGGTACTAGTTCAGGATAATTTCAGGGTCGTGTACAAAATGAAATTTAATGACTAATTTCTAACTTAACCCTTTTATGTATGCACCTAACTGAAATGTACAATGCTCTGCCTGACGCCTTTTTTAATTTTCTTCTTAACTTCCCTTAACTGGACTCAATATTCGCCTCGAATATGCAAATATTTGGTAATTTACATGGAAATGCTGCAGCGCCCGGTGCGTGTGCGAGCTGGGAAATTTTTCGATATCAGTTTGGTCGTCTTTTCAAAGGTTTTACTGTGTTGATTTTTGGCCATATCCGAGGTACTAAATATGTATTTGCTTCTGTTTTAGACTATGAACAATACCTACAGTTTGGTGGCTCTCTTGTTGAATATGAACAAATGAAGATGGCAAAAAGGGGACTAGTATACGAGAAACAATGTTAAAAATTTTGTTAAAATGTGTGGTTTAGAACAGTTTATTAAATAGTTCTTTGAATAAACGGAATATTCTTGCTAGTATTTTAATATAGGTTATGTTAGGTTAGGTTAGAGGGCCGCCTTCGTGGGAGGCACACTTTAACAGGGATGTACACCTATATAAGCACGGTGGGCAGGAAGCGAAGATAGGTTGCATAAAAATGTCGACAAAATCTGAAGGCAGGGTTGTATTTGTTGATATCTTAAGGTTAAGAATCCGCTTAAATTGAAATCCTAGCTGCTCCTGTTTTAAAGATATCCACATTTTATATACTTCTGATAGGATATATTTGCAAAAGAGGAAGGCGTACTTCTCGATAATTAGAGCATATTTATACGAGAAGAAATCTCATATAAATCTGTTCCCATTTTTTAACTCACTAAAACGGATCAAATCAATGTGAAACATTTTCATTTTTTCCTACCGAAAGAATAATTGATCGAGATTTATTGGGCGCTACCGGTATACAACTTAGATAAAACACCACAATTACCTTTTTCTGTAGCGTGAACTTTCTCATTACAAACACTTTCAATATCGCAATATATGTATGTATGTATACAATATTGTATGCTATATAATACGGTAGTAATTTTTTATTAAAGGTTTGTTGCTATAAGCAAGTAGCGCAGGCAAGTCGCACTGCGCTTGTGCAAGAAATAAAAATGCTCTAACTTAGGCCAACGGTACTCCTCATAATAAGTAAATAAATTCAAAGCTTGTATGAGATTTATTTTGGTATTTATGTACTCTTCTGTCAGGAAATAATGACTATTGTACATCCAGAACACAAATGCGATCATAAAGAAAATCGCATGAAAGTATGCGCTTTGTGTGTAGGGCTGCCAGACGTCCCGGTTTTCCCGGACATGTCCCGGTTTTAGACTATTTGTCCCGGTATCCCGGTCCAACCTTAAAATGTCCCGGGTTTCATTTAAGTGTCCCGGTTTTCGATTTGATTGCACAAATTATGCTTAAAAATGACTACGCTGAGAGAAAAAACGCGTTGTAATATTAAGAAAAATTTTATGAATTTACTGGGGGAAATAACGCATAGTAAACATGAATATTTTTTATTTGATTATCGTTTTGAAATGTTCGTACTTAAAAACAATACTTTCATACCACGCACACGTGGTGTTGAATCAAACTGAACATTTGAATGCACATTTACATGTCTGGCTGTAGCTGAGTGCACGAAGATGCTTGCCACAATTTGCTAATTTCCAGAGCGTCAGGGTTCAAATCCCATTACAGACAGCATGGAATTTAAAAAATTTTTTTTTTTAACTTAATTATGAAAAAGCATCCGTTAAGTGCAAAGCGCTTCATTTTAATATTGGCGTATTTCAATTGAATATTTCTATACTAAATACTAAAATTTGTATACTTAAATTATTACGAGTTGGGTTGGTGCTCTTTCATATGCGATTTTTTTTAAATGTAGCACGTTCTGCATAAGCAATAGTTGATGATTAATATAAGTATGTACCTAAATACGTTAAAATGGCATGCACAGAGTTTTACAATTATAGCAAAAGCCAGAAGTTTTGAAACAAGTTCACAGCAACGAAACAAATGACTGATATTTTAATGTTACCTTGTATTTATTTATTTTTTTTTTCGTGAAACCTAGATTACTTATAAGTACCATGCCGTACAAAATTATTGGCTCGGAGACACTTTCATCTGATCACAATTTCTAATCAGATCTTTTAGAAAAATGTTTAAAATGTTACTTTTGAGCCAATTAGTAAAGTGCAAGTCTGAAGTTACCAGAAAATTTCGTTGATTTTTTACAATTATTTATTTTTTGCTGACAGTGTCTTCCACATACAAAAAAATGTCGAACATAGTTTGTATGGAAGAAACTCTCAGTAAAAACAATACCAAATATATATTGCCTCGTTCAAAGCCATGAGCAAAATCGTGAATACATGGTTTTCCGCAAAACAAGCGGATCTTAGTAATTTTGATAAAAATCTTAACGAACTCCGCACAGCTTTGAAAAGTACTGGAATTTCTCAAACTGTCAAAATCCATTTTATCCTTAAACATTTAAAGCAATCTATTTCATTCTTGAATAACGATGGTTTAGGATTATGGTCCGAGCAGGCCGGGAAGTCAGTTCATAGAGAATTCATTAAATTCTGGGATAGATTCAAAATAAATATGATTGATAAACCAACTTTTGTGAGTCGCCTGAAGAAAACTGTAATGACATTTTCATTCCAGCATATATAAAAACTTAGGTTAGGTTAGGTTACACTGGCCGGCTGTTGCGCCTTACATAGACCCGTTGGTCCTTTGTAGTGCCAGATGGAGGTCCGTTTTACTGCGGTCTAAAGTAGTCGTCGCTTTTTGCGAAGTTCAAGAGTGCCTTAATATCCAGTTTTGAAACCTCCTCTAGTCCTTTAAACTGCGAAGCTCCGAGATAACTAAGACGATTTCTAGCTAAGGCCGGACAGAAACAGAGGAGGTGTTCTAACGTCTCACTCATGCCTTCCTCCCTGCACTTCCTGCATGCGTCACTGTTACTAATGCCCATTCTGCTTGCGTGGGATGCCAGTAGGTTGTGGCCCGTCATTAGGCCGACAACTGTCCTGCAATCCCTACGTGACCGTGTAAGCAAGAAATGGGTGTTTCCTTTGCTGCTATTGCACATGATCTTGGTGGTTTTGCATGTCGCTAATGCGTTCCATCTCCCCCTGATCCGGCACCCAGCTCTTTCGGAAATTTCATTGTAGATCGTTTTTAGTGACTTTTGTATTTCCCGTACTGGTTCGCTAGCAAGACGGATGGCACTTTTGGCAATCTCATCAGCTATTTCGTTGCCTAAAATGCCCTTGTGGCCTGGAACCCAGTATATATGCAGCCGTTTACTCTCGGCCGCCCTGTCTACTGCTTCCCTGCTTCTAAGGACATTTTCTGACGCAATACGATGTGAGATTATGGCCTTAATCGCCGCCTGGCTATCGACATATATATTGATATTTTTTATATAATTTCCTGCGTTGCTAGCTATCTCAGCAGCTTTCCTTACAGCGAAGACTTCCGCCTGGAAAATACTGCAGTACTCTGTAAGCTTGAAGGGTTGCCTGAGGTCTAGCTCGGCGCAATAGACTCCGGCGACCACTCCATCAGCCATTTTTGATCCATCCGTGTAGATGTTATACGTTACGCCGGTGGGTCGCGTGCTCATGCGCCATCCGCCCTCCTTAACCGTAGCTTTAAACCTTCTTCCCCAGATGAAGCGTGGGGGTATGTGGTCTATTTTGTCCTCCATCCCCCTGCTTATCGAGCTGTGCCCGAAGGTTCTTGCGGAGAATTCACCTAAGGCCATCAATCTCGTGGCGGATTTCGCTGCAGTGCTCTCCACCGCGATGTCGATTGGTGGTAGGCCAAGTAGCCTTTCAAGTGCCGCCGTTGGAGTGGTCCTTAGCGCTCCTGTTATGCACAGTGCAGCGAGCCGCTGTAATCGCTCCAATGGTTTTCTATACGAAATTTTGTTTGCAGCGGTCCACCATACCAGAGCACCGTAGAGCAATATGGGCTTAACTACCGCTGTGTAACACCAATGCATGAGGCCAGGGGATAGGCCCCATGTGGTACCCAGCATCTTTTTACATGCGTAAAGGGCACCACTGGCCTTTTTCACCCTTTCCTCCACATTTAGCTTCCACATCAGTTTGCTGTCCAAAATTACTCCCAGGTACTTGGTGTGATCCTTGATTGATAGCTCCGCCCCGTTGAGCCTCGGGGGTTTCCACGCGGGGATTTTGTACCTTCTTGTGAACAGTACCGCATCCGTTTTGTCAGCATTTACCTCTAAGTTGACTGTTGTCGCCCATCGATGTACGACCCTTAGAGCGCTTTCCATTACGTTACTGATGGTGTCTAGGAATTTCCCCGTAACAACTATAGCTATGTCGTCCGCATAGGCAATTAGTCTGGGTGCTTTCCCTTCGAATTTTCCCAGAAGCTCATTCGCTACGAGTAGCCACAGGAGTGGTGACAGAACCCCACCCTGAGGAGTTCTGAGTCTGAGCAACCTGGCTTCGTTCCACTCCGCCTTAATTTTCCTGCAGCTCAGCAGGCTTTTTATCCATAGTAGGATGGCAGACTCTACCTGGGCTGCTTCTAGGCTTTCCATTATTGCCTCATAGGAGACATTATTAAATGCCCCACTTATGTCCAGAAAGACCCCTAGGGCATATTCTTTATGCTCCAGAGCTTTTTTCTATTACCGCGGTTAGTGAGTGAAGTGCAGTCTCAGTGGATCTACCCTTCGTGTAGGCATGCTGCGCCTTTGATATGCTGGCCGACGGCAGCTTATCCCTAATGTAGGCGTCCAGAATCTTTTCGAGCGTCTTTAGAAGGAATGAAGTTAGACTAATTGGTCTGTATTCTTTCGAATAGAGGGGATTTCCCTTGCCCGCCTTCGGTATGAATACGACCCTCGCCTCTCTCCAAAGGACAGGCACATAGTTTAGTCTTAAACATCCCTCGTATATTGTTTTCAAGTATGGTGTCAGCACTGCGGAAATTTTTTGCATCATGGCTGGAAAGATACCGTCTGTGCCTGGGGACTTAAACGGCCCGAAGCCATCGATTGCCCACCGTATTTTTTCTTCCGTTATGATGTCCGGGGGGACATTTTCCACGCTATCTCCTAGAAGTTGCAGATCTATGCTGTCTGTACACCCCGGAAAGTGTGTGTTGACTAGGTCTTCCAGTGAGTCCTCACTGCTTCCAGTCCACTCTCCACATTTTTTACGTAGTAACCTTGGATTAGTCGGGTTCTTGGATAGCAATTTCCTTAGCCTGGCTACCTCGGTTGTTTTTTCTAATTCGCCGCAGAAGCTCTTCCACGACTCCCGCTTGCATTTACGAATCTCTTTCTTGTATTCCTTAAGTACTTCCTT